CACTGACTGATTGCAGTGTGAACACATACCCACAGCCTACACCTACAGTAAACAATATGAAAAGGTACGAGGAAAAATAAAGCTAAAGAGGGCTGCAAAATATAAATGGTAAGGGCAAGGAAATCAACAGCGCAAATATTGAATCAGGGATAAAATAGTTTATCCATGTATTAAAAACAGTTCCAGCGAACAAGGAAAATACTGAAAGAATACCTTCCCACCTACAGGATATGTGTTTGGTTGCAAATGTCTAAGTGAGAAAACAGAAACTTGCATGCCAGTGTCTTCGAGTAACATTTCTTTCTGCAGGGGAGGTGTAACAGCTTCTCCCACCTGTCTGTGTGGGTGTGTGTCTATACACATCAAGATGTACATGGTCTACAGACTACAGGTCACACTGAGCCATGTCGCATTCCTGCCAGCCAGCATTGCAACTGAAATTGTCATGTGGTGGGAAGGGAGAAACTTCCTAGACCAAGGTTTGCAAGGACATGGTCTCACACATGGCTCATGAGCTGCACCAGAGAAGACCAAAACCACAGCAGGTGCAAAGGTTTTGTCCCATCTCTGAATGCATCCATCAAGTGACACTCTCCAGGTATGGTGGGACTGACTGAGACAAGGGATCTGTGTCTATTTGCCCTGAAAAGCAACCAAGCCAGAGTATTCCCATCCACCCTTCATCACAGCATCCAGGCTATTTTCTTCCACAGCAGCTCATGATGCTCCACTCCAAGACTACCAGGGTTTTCTAGGAAGCATTTTCATGCAACATGGTTTCTAGCAGAATCATGTTTGTGATTGCCTAACACTGGAGTTTACTGAAGGGAAAAAGTCACTTAACTTACCTGGATGAGGAAACAGTCAACTGGCATTGGAAAATATATTTGTAATGCCTCATCCTTCACTGGAGCACTGTTCATTTCTCCTTAAGTGTTGCCTTAATTTATTGAAAGCAATTAGGGTTGAAGCCCTGGCTGCTGTTCACACATTGCACACTGCAGGTCCCAGTGCCAAGCAGATCTGTCCAACTCTCACCTCTTACTGCAAAACCAGAGATGCTCTGCTTGTGCCAAGGGAGGCCCTGAATTGCTCACACTGAATTGCTCACCCTGAATTGCTGAGCCCCAGCCCCGACTCTCACAGGCTCCTAGTGACCTCTGAGCAAAATGAGACTGAGCAACAGGTTCAAAATGTACAAAAAGTGGTAGCACCATCTGCAGCACCCCACCTACTACCACTCCTTGCAGCCCTTCCCTCTTGCTTATTTCCATTATCATGGATTTATCCCCTCAGGGTGCACTGGGGCCTCTGTGTTCTGCAAAACCTGTGCAGGGGCTAAGCAGGGTGTACATCATCTCCCTCTAGCAAAATGGGAGTGTGAGGCCCCACCCAGGATTTCGCTAGGCTTTAACCCAGTACCAGCAATCCCTCAGGACTTCAAGGGCGTGAAGGGAGCTGCTCAGGAAATCTTGGCAATTAGTACAGCCACTCACAGACACCCTCCCTTAAACCTCAAGGGAAAATTGAAACAACTAATAATGTTATTAGACAGAAACTGAAAAACTTAGTTGGAGAGTGAATAGCATGGCTTGCTGGTTGGCTGCTCCCAGGGCAAAGAGTCTCGTGTATGCCAAGTACTGCTGCTGGCCATGGGTCACCATGGTGCTGACACAGCACGGGTCAGGCTTCCCGGTCATCCCTCTGGGCACCCCATGCTAGGTAGCTGCTGGTCAGCCCTGCCCAGCCCTGGGACCCATCACTAACATTGCACCCACCTGGCTATCCCCTCAACCAGCAAAGGCTCAAAGTCACAAAGCACTTCACTATCGTGGAGTCCTTCTCCTTTGATAAATTTGTTTTCAGGCTATGAATGCACATGCAAGCATCCATTATGGTTTCTGTGGTTAGAGTACAAGCCTCTGGCAGCTTAGGTCTGCAGGGTGCCTCAAAGAGGAACCTCCTTTCTGTGGCACAGGATTTAATGGGAGCTGCTAAACATGGAGGCAGGAGGTCAAACCAGTTTCCAGTTATAGATGGTGATGATCATGAAATTGGCCCCTAGGTCACAGGAAATCCATCTGTCTGCCCAGGCGGGATGGTCATCAACACTAAATTGAATCACTTGAGGTTTTGTCTAGCTGAGTCTTGAAAACTTCCTTGGGCAGAGACTCAGCTGCCTGTGTAGGCAACTAACCTCTTAGTGACATTTTTTCCCTTGATGGCCAGCTTGAAAGTCCTAAGAGAGAACCTGTGTCTGTACTGGCCATTTCTATGCTGCCTCTGGAACTCTCTTTCAAGGCTAATTGGGTCAGTCTGAGCTTCCTTGTCTTCAACCAGCCCACATCCCTCAGCCTATCCTCCCAGGCCCATGCCATCTTGGAATCCTTGAGCCAGACTGGTTTCCTACACCCCTCTTGAATTTGGGTGTCCAGCACTGGAAAGAAAAACACTCCAGGTAGAACCATTGACTATGTTAGGACTCTGAAAGCACCACTGGGACTGGCTGCCCCTGCCCAGCCCACAGGGCTTCCCCCTCCTCCCTTTCAATGGCCCAGGACCCCATTTCAGATTTAACAAGCAAGTTGCTAACCTATTCTTTTTTTTTTTTTTTTTTGTGTTAAATACCTGGAAAGAGACTTGCCTTAGAAAGGGCACTGAAACACCAAGCCCAACAACCATCTGCCTAAGTGGAATTTCAGGAATGTTGTCTTCAATCCTTTCTTTCCATTAAAAAGTCCCGTGGTACAACACTCCACACATGTGATTTTTAGAGGCAAAGCCCTGGTTCTCCTGGGAAGGCTTTTACCACTGACCTGAGCTTACCCCAGATTTTTCTCCAAGATCAAGTGAGTTGCAGATACTTATCCACACCATTTGCTGTGATAAGTGTCCATATTGTGTGACTTCCCTCTGTACTTCTCAGATTCCCCGAAATGAAGGTTTGCTGCTGCTCTTCTGCAGAAGATCACCCCAAACATGTCGAGATTAGTACCCATTTATTCCTAATTTCTTGTTTTTTTTCCTGTACCAGGCAAGGTCAGAGACACTCTTCTGGTATGTTGTGTCACAAGACTTCCTTCTTTGAAAACAGCCCACTGCTTTCAAGATCGTGTAATTATGTGTGTGTGGGGGACACTCTTGCAATGTGATCATTTAAGGTCTCTGAAGGGTCAGCAGAGGGCACTCAGTCAAATTCCCTGAAAATTTTGAATATACCAAACTCAGCAGAACAATCTACCAGACTTATTTATCACATCTACTTCAAATAATTATCACCTAGGCAGACATACCATCCTTCAAGTGATTTCAATATATGCTGTGACTGAGATGCTGTGCAAACTTTCAGTGACTCCTTGTCAATAACAACAGAGACATTTAAAAGTTTCATGTATATTTCCTTATCTAATCAGTCAAATTATGGTTTATGGTTCAACTGAAACTGTAATTTCATTTGGCTTTGTTCCTTGTAAAGGTATATGAGACATTGTTTACCTTAGAATACAATACTCCAGGACCTGGTTTATACAACAGATTTTTGTAATGCTTCCCACCATTAATTCAAATATTCTTATTTGAATCTTCCTAAGTGTCATTGTGAGCCTTCCTGTTAACCATGCACCTGCTTATCCTACTCTTTAAAAGTATGACATAGTATGGCCATGCCTGATGATGAACAAGATGCTGAAAAACAAAGTGCTGTTTGAGAATGAGAGGTTGGTGCAGGAAAGACTCATTACAACCAGCACTTGGGAGGTGAGAGAATCATGGAATGGTTTGTGTTTAAATGGACCTTAAAGATCATCTAGTTTCAAACACCCTGCCAGGAGCAGGGACAACTTCCACTAGACCAGGCTGCTCAGAGCTCCATCCAACCTGGCCTTGAATAGTGCCAGGGATGGGACATCCACAGCTTCTCTGGGCAACCTCTTCTGGCCTTGAATAGTGCCAGGGATGGGACATCCACAGCTTCTCTGGGCAACCTCTTCTGGTAAAGATTTCTTTCGTCTAACCTAAATTTCCCTTCTTACAGTTTTTCCCCATTACTCCTTGTCCTGTCACTGCAGTTCCCGATGAAGAACCCCTCTCTGGTTTCCCTGTAGGCCTCCTCCAGATACTGGAAGGTTGCTATGAGGTCTCTACACAACCTTCTCTTCTCCAGGCTCAACAGCCCCAACTTTCTCAGCCTGTCTTCCTAGGGCAGGTGCTTCAGTCCTCTTACCAATTTGTGGCCTCCTGGACTTGCCCCAACAGTTGCATGTTCTTCCTGCGTCAGGGGCACCAGTCAGATGCAGGATCACAGAATGTTGGATGCAGACCCACAGGGGTCTCACAAGAGCAGAATACAGGGACAGAATCACCTCCCTCCACCTGCTGGCCATGCTCCTTTAGATGCAGTCCAGGATTTGTTTGGCTTTCTGGGCTGCCAGCCTACACTACTGGCTCATGTTGAGTTTCTGGTCAGCCAACACCCTTAAGTCCTTCTCCACAAGTCTGCTGTCAATCATGTCTCAGCCCAGCTTGTAGGTGTGCCTGGGATCAAACCCAGGTCTCCAATTTAGAGACAAGAATGTCGTGCAGGACAGTGTCTAATGCTTTGCACAAGCCCAGGTAGACAACATCCACAGCTTTGCCCCTATCCACCAGTGCTGTAGAGATACAGCACTGTGTTTCTGTGAGATGTGCACATAGAAGTGCATTTTCCTGGAATTTGAGTAGAAACATGTGCCCAAGACTCTTCTCTAATAATACCTCTCCTCAACTGAGCAAAAGCTTCACGCAAGCACACTGCTGTAGTTCCCACAAAAAAGTAAGCCACTGTCTGCCCTGGTAAACCAAGGTCTGGAGTTGGCCATAATCTTCAGCCACCTTACAAAGTCCACCACATCTGAACCACTGACTTGTCAAACATTCATTAGTCTCACATTGTTTTATTGTGTCTATTGTGTGTATGTGTGGTCTAAAACGTCTGTAAATTAAAAAAAAAAAAAAATCAGCCATTGAGCTTTGGACACAGTTTTATTTTGGAAATCCCCCTCCTTTTTATTTTTTTAATTACCTTCAGCCACATTTTGGATGATCCCATATGAATGGTTTACCAGAAGTACATTGCTTTGCCACACAGTGATTACAATTTTTCTTGTAGCCCTGGCCCTGCTGGCAGACATGGCCAAACTCTTGTGTACACAAGAGGGGTGGGATTCTGCCAAAAAATGAACTCTTATCTTACCATGGGAATTGGAGAAAAACTTACTTCCGTTTCCACCTTCAAGTATTTATGAGAGAATTTACAGCCCTGGTTTATATTCATCCACCTTAAGGTGAGCACCACAAAGTAAAGTGCTGCTCACACCTCCTGCACACGTTCCACTTCCAAAGAAATACCTCCTAAACCTTGACCTCCAATAATGACTGTAATAAAGAAATGTCAGTTTTGAGATAGTCCAGGTTAAAAAGCTTTCCAAATAGTTTGTTAGGAAATAGAACAACAGCCAAATTAACCAGAGAGCCTGGCTCTTCTACTGGTTTTTGCATGAAGGCAGCCATGGCTTACCGCTGGCTGAGGGTTAATAACCAGGGCAAATAAATCAGACTTCATTAATTTTCCATCATCTATGAAGATCTAAGGAGACCTGATGTACTTAGAAATGCAAGGTTCCTGGCTGGCATGTCTACAGACCTATTACAGATGCTGGGTCCCAGTTTCCCAGGCAACTGGATTTGTCCCATCCTACCACGACTGCCACCAGAGAGCTCCCTAGGTGCAAAACTCATGGTGGCAGGGAGGGAAGGCACTCAGAGCACTCTGCCCTCTCCCCAACATATACAGCTCCCCTCTTTTACAGGAAGACTTGAGAGCACATTGAGGGGAGAGGCAAAGGCTTTAGCCCTCTTGGGACATGGCTGCTAGATGGAGTGAGCTAGAATGACAGGGAACAGAGCAAATGGCTCTTGGCCTCTTCTGAAAGATAGTAACTCTTCTGATTCGAAGAAGGCACAAACCCAACGCCAGTGGCATTTCCATCCACAAGTCTATTTTACACTTGACACAGCACAGATCTGCCAGTCATGACAGACCTGACAGATTCTGATACAGATGCTCACAGAAATGTGTCCTTAGGTTTTCTGCACATGCCACAACTGTGACTCACCTTCTGTCTGACGGAGACAACCTGGCAAGCCCAGAGCAAGCGATATCACCAGCATGATGCATACGTTTATAGGCATCATTATATTTCTTAATTAGGATTCCAACCGAAGAATTTCAAAGGAGGAAAAAAAAAGTAGTGGGCAGGGGAATGAATCCGATACCTTAAAAATGATGATTCGTGACACATTCACCAAATTGACACCTGAACACAGAGTAATGACTGATGCAAAATTTAGCAGATACCAGTGGTTTGGTTGATCACATCACATCAATGGGAATAAGCATCATCCAGAGCTGTAGAAAAAATGTGTCTTGAGAAACTCCCTTTTACCAAACATTAAAGCAATTGTCAACTTGAGTGGGGATGAAAGATGTGTTGAACATGAACACTCCAAGTGAAAGCAGATTGCCTGTTGAACTGTCCCAAAATTAGTTTGACCTACACAAAGCAGGAATTGTGATCAAAACTCTATGCTGGGTAAAGGTTTAAAGGAAAGCGCCGCAACCTTACAGTGACTAACATGTCAGGAATGGGTAAGTGAAAATTCTAGATGTCAGATACAAATGGCAAGTTAAAAGGTGTATGTGACTGATAGAGGAAGCTAAAAGAATTAATGAAAATCTCCACAGCCTTACAGGTAGCAGTGGGCACAGAACCATTTCAAAAGACAGGAAGTCAGGAACAACAGAGCAGAAATAACCTTCAGCATCTAACTCTAATTACTTTTCTATTTTGGTATAGGTCCTTTCATGGAAAAATATTGATGTACAAGCCCCTTCCACAGCCACTATGTTTAATTTGTGTACTTTCAGCATTCCCCAAACTGAGAAAGCTCCACAGCCACAGAGTGTGAAGAGGAGGAGTGGCTGATAAGCCTGTGGCCCTGATTTTCACCATACTGACTCAGAGCTGACCAGCTCCCTCTGAAGCTGCCACTGCCACATACCACCACCAGGAAAGATGTGACCAACTTGATTTTGGAAGTCAGCAGACGAGCAGTGAGCAGGGGTTAGCAGTTCGGTAGCTGATGTGTTCAGAGGCCAGTGGGGACTGGGGATACTGTTCTGAGACAGGCTGGAGAGGGGAAGCATGGCACCATGACCCCTTCAGGCTATCTGGAAGGAACCATCACTCCTTCTTCTCCGCTGGGACCTGCACCAGCTGGGGTGCAGCAGTGTGCAGCAGCATGAGCCCACAGACTGTCATGGTGAGGCCGACCCACCACAGAGGCGTCCACGTCTCCCCGAAGAGCAATTTTCCTAGGATAGCCTGAAGGAAAAGAGAGACACAAAGCTTTGCTGGGCTGAGCTGCCCCAAGGCCTCTTGTGCTGCCACAGCTGTGAGGACTTCCGGGAGAGACAGCTCTAGAAAAAGCCTGTCTGAGGAAACTCCTTCTGGGATGACCAACAGGAATGGCTGCTGAAGGTGGTGCTGGAGATGACCAAATCCACCAGCAGCCTGGAAGCACAGCCATATTGTGGTTCCAAAGCAGGATATGACAGATGCATATGTGCTTTGCTGCCTTCCCAGCACTTCTCAGGAGCCAAATTTCCCACTGACTGGGTATTTATTATTGTCAATTATTGGACACCATCATGAGCTGTCTGCCAGCTGGGGCACAGAAACAAGGTGGACTGCTGCCAAGAGGGAAAAGCAATTGAAAAAAACCTGTAGGTCAAAGACTCTATTGCTGTCACTAGAGGTGATGCATCTTCAGACCCAGCTAGGGTGACTGGCTTATCCCAACTAAGGTGCTGCAAAGGAAAAGCAAAATGAAGCAAAGCTCCCAGCTCCAGCTCCCACTGACAATTAGAAAACTTTGGTAAACTGTGTTCCTCTTGCACCACCCAGGAAAGTTCCACCACCCGTGCCGTGAACAACTACCAGAGCAGCTGAGGCCTGACAATAATTTCATATCTGCCTGTAACTCTGCCTTTGTGGTCAGTGATGCTGGTTGCACTGAGAGATGAACTACAAGAAGCATGGGCATTCCCACGTCACTGTGCTCCTCAGGCTTCAGTGTCTGGGGAAGGGGTCTACTCACCGAGGAGATGAAGTTGGAAGCTGTCGTTGTCACCGAGGCAGCAGCTGAGGAGGAGGAGAGTCGTAAGGCTTTTGTGAAGACTGCCCACATCACTGCATTGCACACAAACACCAGCCCAACACAGATGAGGCGAAGCAACACTGGCAGCTGCGGGACATAATGGAAAACTGTGTATTTTCAGCCCCCACTATTCAACCTCTATAATTCATGGGCACTTTGGAGCCCAACCTAATGGTGTGGGCTTTTAAAACTGAATTACAGCTCATATTACATGAAGATGAATATATTAAGTCACAGAAGGAAATGAAAATGAAGAAACAGCCCTGGACAGACTGTGAGCCTGCCATGTCCTGCTGCAAGCCCAGCCTCACACTACAAGCTGAGAAATGCTGGGATAACGTGCAGCAGCTGCCATGCCAGAAGCCAACCTGCAGAGAGCTCTCCAGTTCACAATGTGGTGCCACATGCAATGCCCATAAATGCCCTTCACTTAACACTTGATGTATGGAACAGGGTCAAATTCAGTCTGACAAACACCAGACATGTACATGCTGGCATTGTGTGTGCTCCAGAACCCAACTGTTGTGAATGTGAGCCAAGACCTGGGTGGTCCCAAAGCACTCGTCCTACTGCTGCAGTGAGGGTAGAGCAGGATCTCTGGGGTGAAAGAAAGAGCTGAGTGGCCTCATGCCTTGTTTTGCACATTCACTGAAGAGTAGGGAAGTTTACTGACAGGGTCTCTGCTCTAGCATTTAGTAGCAATAAAACCAATTCTGAATTCAAGGACCTCAAGAAATCTCTCTCTCCTTAGACAACCTGACCAGATGCATAACTGCCTCAGTCTGAGAAAAGGGCACAGTTGCACCTAAAAAGCCAGCACCAATCACAGTGCCTCCCACCCCTTCCTAATTTCAGCAGCTGAGGCCATCTCCCCAGCCCTGGGTACCATACAGCTCATGTGAAGACACCAAAGGATATCACAGGCAGGCAGATCACAACTCTCACAAACAGTGACAAGTAAAAGCAAGGCTTTGTCTAAGCTCATAGCAATCACAGATTCACAGCCTGCCACCTTTCAGTCCATGGTGGGATCCATCTTGAGGCAGACAGAAATGCAGGTTTGAAGTCAGCAAGTACAGCTCAGAGGTGGCACCTGCCCTGTGGGAATGGCTGCAGTATCCAGTGTCCTCCTGCCAGCAGTGTCCTCCTGTAAGCCACCGAAATCAACGGTGTCCACCGTGTCATGATCCCATTCAGAAGAAGAAATTACTAACTGCAAACAGTGGGGGAGCCCACAGTTTTCTGAAGCAAGTGATACAGCAAGTACAAAGTTTAAAAGGAAAACAATGCAACATAAATCCATGCTTGATGGTTGGCACAAGCTCTCCAAGGCTAATCCCACTCCAGTGAGGGATGGTGCAGGTGTGTGGCCTCATTTTGCTCCACTTATGTGAAAGGTCTCCAACTTATGCAATTGATCAGGGCAATAGTAAAGATTCAGAATGATTCCCACCAGTGAATCGCTTTGCTTTTCCACTGACTCCCTGGCAAACCCTGTGTGGATGGGTAAGAAGGGCAACTGTCCAGCTACTACTGCTCCTCTGAGGAAGAAAACTTCTGCTGTGTTATAGCTCACCATAGGATGGAGTTTGCTTCCCAGTTTCACTCTCTGCCTGTATGATCTGGCAGTTTTACTTTCCTCAGGGAGTTATGTACATCCACATACTTCTAGTGAGTAAGCAGACTTGGGAGTAGGGATGAGAGGGGAAAACAATTCTTTGTGCTTCACCTAACTCCACTGTATTTCTGGATCAGAAAGAGACCACGCTGCTGCAGTAAAAAAAAAAGCCTTAAGAAATCTTGTTACTGCCATCAACCATTAACCCAAGGGTGTAGAGAGATGGAGCCTAGGTTCCTCTCCAAGGTTCTTTACGATATGACAAAAGGCAACCAGGCAAGTATGGAACAAATGAAATCCATTATGAGGAAAAGCAAAGGTGACCAAGCACTGGAAGAGAGATCATGGGCTCTCTGACTTTCTAAGTATTTAAAACTTAACTGGAGAAGATCATGTGTAAGCAAAGGTTGGATTAGAGACCTCCAGGGATCTTGCCAGACTTGAACTAGTCTGAGACTAACAGTGGTGAAGCAAAGCTGGTTCCCACTATCACAGCAACTATGCCACCTTCAAAAGTGACCAGAACCCATGGCTTCTTCTGATCTCCTAATGCAGAGCCAGGGAAATCAGCTGCAGATGGCACATGCCCAGAAGGAAGGTTTATCAGAGAAAGGTCCAGTTTCTCTGTACCCAGGGCAGCAGAGTGGTCATTGCAATGGCCACAGACAGAGACAGGAACATCCCCACACGTTCCCCACAAGGAAGGAGGGAGATAAATTCCTCCCCTGCTAAGAGCTCAGCTGAGCCACCCCAATGAGTCAAGGATTACTGTTCTGATTGCATTTCTAAGCAAAGATTACTTTCAGTGTACACTTCAGATAATCTAGAATCACTCCTGAAGTGGCAGAAGTAATTTTAGATGAAGATTGGCAGGGGAGCAGAGAAAGCAAAGAAACGCTTTTGTTCAAGTGCAATGACCCATCCTGGTCAGGCTGCTCTCAGGCTGGGCCACCACAACACATCCTTGTGGCCAGGAAATCCATCCTTGTAGTGCCATGGTGTAAAGTATCAATGCACTTTTTGCTGGCATGTTCCATGCTACACAACTGATGGCTGCTATTCAATTTATTTTGGGATTTCTGTAGCTCTTCCTCCAACACAAAACCCCTCGAATCTCTGTCATCTCATGGCTGCTCTGCAGAAGGGATCTCGGGAGTTCACCCGGTCCAACCTCATCACTCCAGCAGATTGCCCAGGTCCATATCTGGACAGTATATGAGTATCTCCAAGGATGTAGAATCTGCCACATCCCCAGGCAACATGGGCCAGTGCCTGGCCACCCTCACAGTGAAAAGGTGTTTCTGGATGTTCAGAGGAAACTGCCTCTTTCAGCACATCCCTTTGCCTCTGGTCCTGTTACTGGGCACCACTGGAATGAACCTGGCTCCATCCTTTGTGCACCCTCACTGCAGGTATTTCTACACATTGAAAAGATCCCCCGAACCTTCTCTTCTCCAAGACAAACAGTCCCAGCTCTTTCAGCCTCTCCTCACAAATTGATGTTCTGATCCCTTCATCATCTTTATGAGCCTTTGCTGGACTTTCCAGTAGCTCCATCTCTTTTTTTGCAGTGGAGAGCTCAGAACTGAATCAAAAAATCCAGGTGTGCCCTCACTGGGGCTGAGTAGACAGGAGGGATAATCTCTGTGGACCTGGCAACACTTCACAGCAATGACATNAAAAAAAAAAAAAAAAAAAAAAAAAAAAAAAAAAAAAAAAAAAAAAAAAAAAAAAAAAAAAAAAAAAAAAAAAAAAGGAAACACCAACCTCCCAACCCCTCCCCCACCCTGTCCCCAAAGAAATGGGCAATATTTTTATAAATTTCGATACAGAAAAATACTCAGAAAAGATCTGTCAGCATTTTCAGTAACTCCATGCTCTGCCATTCTCTCAGTACAGAGCACAGTTTGGGGTTTTCTGGGCAGAGCGAAGAGTATCAAGATTTTTTTTTTATTTCTCCTTTCTGAGGTGTCAGAAGGGATCAACAGGATTGGCAGGTGCTGAGTTTTTGTCTTTTTAACCCTCTGTAATAATCACACAGGTCAATTTCTTTTTTATTTTTTTTTTTTCCCCTGGTGGAAGGCTGGATTTGTTTCAGATGTAGTTTCCCTTGTGGGTTCCCTTTTGGATTTCAAATCGAAATGTACATTTGCCGTGTGAGTAACAACCTATACCTAAATGAATCTCCTCGAAGTGCTACAGGTATGCTGCCTTCCTCCTGTCGCCACTCCACCACAACCTGGTGCCCATCTCCCCCTCTGCGGTGGCAGAGGTCACTCCTGGAGGTAAGGACACCACTTCTGAGGTGAAGGGCCAGCAGTCCCACGCAGTCTCAAGCCCGTGGGGGTTTGTGAAACGCGACCGAGATAAAGATCATCGCCAACGAACACCCGAAGAGAAGCACTGAGGAAATCAAGGGCTGCACCTCTGCTCGGGGCCCAGCAGAGTAGAACAAAAGGGAGAAGGCCACTGCTATGAGCAAACAGTGGACTGAGAACAAGCATTTGATGCTCAGTCATACTAACGTTCTGCTTTAAAGTAACACTGACGTGGAAGGGCTGGAAATGAGCTCCCAGAGCTGGGCTTGGTTCGGGGCATTCCCGCGCCACGCTCGCTCCCCTCACACGCGGCCGCCCCGCAGCGCTCCCCGCCGCTTGCGTCGGCACCGCGCATTAGTCAGCCCGGCGAGGCCGGGCTCCCCCGGGGTGAGTCACGGCTCCGCCCTCCGAGGCCGCCCCCCTTTCCCTGCAAATCCCGGGCAGCGCCCGAGGAAGAGCCAGCCCGCTCCTTCCCCTGCACCGCCACGATGAGCAGCGCAAGCGCCGGCGCCGAGTGCCGCCTGCGGGGCGGCCGCTCGGGGCTCCCAGACCCGCCCGCTCCTTCCTTACCAGGCCGCCGGCCGCCTCCCCGCCCGGGCCCAGCGCCAGCTTCGCCGCGGCGGCCGCCGCCGCGCCCAGGCCCCCCGCGGCCGCCGCCGCCGCCGCGGCCCGCATGGCCCGGCCCGGCCCGGCCCGGCCCCGCGCAGCGCCGGCACCGCCCCGCGGCGGGCGGGCCCGCCCGGCAGCGGCGAGCCTCGGGCCCGTGGGCCGTGCTCGCGCGTGTGCGAGGGCTTTGTAAACACACGGAGCACGGAGCCGGCGTGGCCACATACCGGACAGAAAATGGCCAGAAGCCTCTGCCGACAGGAAAGAAATAATTGTAACCCTAGAACATGGCAGTCACAAATAAAAGCACCCTTAATGAATCCCTCTTGGCCTGTGTGCTCCTCATCCATGCTAGTTCTGACCTCTACTCTCACCCCAACACCTCTTCCCTTTACGGTTAGCTTTTTATTTCTCTATTTCACCTCACAGCTCCAGTGGAAACAAATCTGCAGCTTAAAACAGGTAAGGTGATGGAAATTCTTCTTTCCCTCAGCCAAATAATGTAGAAAGGCATTAGGTATATTCTACCCTTTTCTAGACACATCCTTCCTCTTCATTCCCTTTTGCGCCAGCACTTGTGGTCAAAACTAGTCTCGTATGAATTAGGCAGAGAGAAGATAGGATAAGTGGCAGTAAAAAAAAATCCAGTTTGACATTGCTATAGAAATCAACATTTTGTATTTCACTAATAAACATTTCAGTAATTTGCAATAAATCTTTTAAGTGCTATTAAGTGAACTTATTCTGTACTCCTAGAAAATATTTTGCATATTTTCAAATCTTCTTTCCTAACATTTTTCACTTCTTTGATAAGAAAATGGTTGCAAAACCCTCGGAATTTCCTACATTGCTAAGATAAAACTCTAAGTCTATACTAACAGGAAAAAAAGGTTTGAAAGGCATTTTATTTAAAAAAAAAAGAAAGAACAGAAACAAAAATGTATTTATAATACTATTTACAAGACTTACTAAATTCACATTTATGCTTTATTGAACAAAGTTTAATATGAAAATCATTCTATGTTTAACCAAAGAAACAAACACATTGTGCTTCTTGAATTTTGGCTCTGATGGAAAATGTAGCATTTCAGAAGTGGTAGGAACCTGAATAAAAGCACAAAAGGAGACAAAAATCCAGGTGTGTTCCCAGGGAGAAAGCTTTTCCTCCTGTCAAGTTACAGAAGTTTCAAGGAAGTATCTACCCAGCATCTATACAAAATCAGGTTTTTAAATTGAAAAAAATTACAAAAAGGTGTTAAAATTTCACAGAAAGCTGCCCACATAGCTGGAATAACAATCTTCACTTAGAGTTATTACCAGCAAAAAACCTACAAACTAGAATACTTAATTATTCCAGAACCACAGCAAAAGTGAAATTTGACAACTGACTTTTGCTTATTCTGTACACTTTAAAAGTATGGCTCTGCAGTTTTGTTTGGGTCATTACAATTGATCATAATTTCTACAAATATTACATTTTTTTGATTCTTTCAAAAAAGCATTTTCGACTCGTAGTTTTTCAGTCTCCTGTAAAACAGAGAAAAAACATGGGTATATTAAAGAAATTATCCTCACTTTTTGGTTTTGGTATTTTTACACAAGCAGTATCTAGAGCTGTTCAAGTGTTTTATAAACTATGTACTTGAGAAAATAAGGAGATCATTGGGGCTTTGAGGAGATGCACACGAGCCATGACGTACTCAGCTGCATAAAATCAAAGGCCATCTCTGTTCCTCTCCAACAGAAGAGCAGGAATTATAGTTTTCATTCTCAAAGCTTAGCTCTTTGGTATGTCAGGCTATTACTCCATCTGTAACCTACTCTGCAACTTACCTCTGTAAGTTTAGCAAAATCTTTCTTCAGTTTCACAAGATACTGAATCTTCTGGTTTAGGTTTTGATGACCAAGTAATTTGCCATTCTCCTCAGCAAGCAAAGCAACTTGCTTCCTCAGCAATTTTATTTCCTGTAATAGTAAATACATTGTGTACCTCTTAGCAGTAGCCTCTCCTTCTCTTTTCAGAAGCAATAGCTTCTTAAAGCTGTTAACATACTAACATTTAAGTTTGTTTTAACATATGATGCAAGAGTTGTTTCACTCAGGAAATACATATTTGTCTTATGTCTCCTTAGACATTATGTTAGATACCTCTAAAGGGCAAAAAAAGGAGCACCATTTGATTTGTACTACTAGGTGATTTCTGTACCCAGACTTTCACTCGTGCAACAAACATCACAAATAAAACTAAACTACAAAACAAACCAGTTGCACTTCTGCTAAATAAGATTCTACTGTGAAGATGACAAAAAAAAATATGTAACCTTTTCAACCCTGTCTTTTTCTTCATATGCTTCCTCCAGTTTTGATCTAATTTCTTCTTTCTCATTAAATGTTCTGAGCTCCAAAGTCCTTGTTCGTTCCATCTCCAGAGTAATTTCATGACAGGCATTCTCTTGGATTCTGAGGATATTTTTGGTCTCTTCTAATCTGCCAATATAAAAAAATCATAAAACATTAAAAACCAACATAAATATCATACAATTGAATTACTAAGCCTGTCTTGGACATGGAGGGAGGCTCCTTTAAAAGCATTATTTTGAGATACTGTATTTCCCTTAGAATTTAGCTAAAGAAAGGATAAAAATTCATTCTGCTTCACAGTTCTTTGATACTATCAACTAGGCAGAATTTTGGAGCTGCTCTTCTCCTTGGGAACTGTGCTGTTTGCAATCCAGGATATACAACTCCACTCATGATTGAAAACAGAAGCTTCACCTGTAAGAACACTTTGAATTAATTCATCTAAGGAATGTCAATTTTACAGCTAAACTCAGCTGCTCTACAGGTTCCCTCTATAAAATGCTTGTTTGTCTGTGGCTTTTCCCCCCTGACAGCCTCGTTGCTCAGAAACATCTGAGCAGTTCTGATGGTCTGAACCTGCTTGGTTGGCCTGGTAACAGAATGAGTACCACTTTGGATAGAATTATAACATTTTCAGCAAATAAGGTCACAGGATATTAAACTGTACCATCAAACTTAGCAGCCTGTCTACTGTTTTCTATGAACTTGAGTAATTTTGCAAATAAATTCAAATATTGCATGCATGAAATTTTTGTCATCAGTTTTGTTTTAGTGAAGCGTGGTGTTTAAGACCTGCTCTGTGAACAGTATTCACTTGCTGCATTTGTCAAGACATTTTCTTGATGAGAAAAGAATGTTTTCCCTCATTGTATGCTTGTATGACACATTGTAGCACTGCTATGAAATGTCTTTTGGAGACCAGACAGGAAAGCAAAATCAGTGCATCAAATAGCAAAATAATCCCTCATTTCTAGACTAGGGTTTCTGGAAAATTTAATGCAAATTACTTTTGAAATGACCATGTGCATAAGAACTATCTTCCTCCTTAAAAGAAGTAACTTACATAGAAAGCATTCCATCAAATGAAAATAACTCATATATTAGGAGATTCAGCCACAATGAATCCTGAAGCAATACAGATTAGGAAAAGAACAGCAGGACAAACATTTTCAAAATAATTTTTATCTACTGATTCAGTATTTTCTTTCTTCGCTATTACCCAGCTGAGGTACAAAACACTTGAATTTTGAGGACTGCTTGCCCAATAGTGCCAACACAATTTAGAAATCTGCTAATAATTTTTTTTTTTTCATTTTTCAAGCCGAACCACAGAAATTTCAACAAATAGCATAAAAATAAAATAATTACATTATATTTAAAATTATAAAATATTTGCAACATTAATAAAGAAATGAACAGTATATTCAATTTAATTTTAAAAGGAATGAGATTACAATTCACTGCATATAAATAATTTTAAACAATTAAAAACATCCCTTCCAATTTACGTTTTTATGGTTCTACCATTAAAGTATTGTCCTGATATAATGCTATGTAGTAATAGGTGCTACTACCACCTACTGATGAGAAAGAGTAAGAATTCAAGGTATCTTGCAGAAGGGTAAACACTTCCAAATTATGCCTTTTGTTATTTCCAATCTTGGACTTTTATTGCTTAAAATGGATCTTTTTTTCCTGTCATTAATTAGTTTAATACTAGTTTCCAGTTCAAGGAACAATAGTTAAACTTACTCTGCTTTGATTTTCAGCATTTCTTCCACTGCTTTATTCTGTAAAAGTTAAAAAAAAAAAAATAGATGCAGTATTAATGTTTAACATATATATATATATATATATATATGTGGGTATGTGCATATATATGTTTAAAAATATCTGTCACTTAATTGATACTACATATCTCATTCCAGATCATCCTACTACCTAGTAGTTCACATCTCTAATATTCACTTTATCTCTTTGCTGTAGGCACTTATTTCCCATATCATGCCAGCATAGCTGACTCACAGCAGTGTCTCTCTGCCCACACACATACAACAGAGCTCTAACAGGGAGTTCTTCTGTCTGGGACATCCATGGAAACCTTTGCTGTGACATTAACTTCTCTTTGACAGAGCCCTGCCATTAGCAAGTGACACAATCTTCACTTTCCAATTCTGGGGATGAATCAGATTTAGCAATCTGAATCTGTTTTTGCTAATTGTGCAATCTGACACCCAGGCCACTGGTGTTAGGCCAAGAAAGAAATCCTAAGAGCTAAGTCTCAGGCTGTGCCTGTTAGAATTCACTAGAAATTGGTGTTTGTTTTGCTGCCATGCAAACCAAACCAACGACAAAAAAATCACATTAATACTTCACAGAAGGTCAACAGCAACTGACATGAGAAGGACAATATACCTTGGCAAGTCGCTCTTCAGCAATCTCTTCCTCTTTCTCTTTAAGGTACTGAACATCAGGATGTTTCTGATCACTAGGAAATTCAAGAATGAGAAAAAAATCTTTCTCACTAACAGAGGAAACCAGTTGTAAAAACATGTTATCCAGATTAAACCAGTAAATATGTGCAGTTGTTTTCACATATGTTCATACTCAAAATACTGAACATCATAAAAAAACTCTGGAAGGGTTTAAACTTCTAAACACATTTCTTTCAGAGTATAGAGAAATTAATGTTTTAATGGAAACAATTACAAATGCAATAAATATGCAACCATTTGTTAGAGAGCTGTGGTGGTTTTGGCTGGGGTAGAATTAATCATCTTCACAGCAGCCATTATAAGGTTGTGTTTTGGATTTTTGCTGAACACAGGGTTGATAATGTAGAGATCTGTTTCTTATTGCTGAGCAGGGCTTGCACACAGCCAAGGCTTTTTCTGCCTTCCATACTGCCACACTGGCTGGGAAGCTGGGGTTTTGTGGGAGGCTGGGAGGAGACACAGCCAGGACAGGAGACCCAAACTGGCCAAAGGGACATCTCAGACCATGTGGCGTCATGCTCAGTGTATAATAAAGGGTGAGGGGGAAAGGAGGAAGAAGGGAGAGTTGGAGTGATGGTGTTTGTCTTCCCAAGTCACTGTGGTGTGTGATGGAGCCCTGCTCTCCTGGAGATGGCTGAACACCTGCCTGGTCATGGGAAACAGTGAATTAATCCCTTGGTTTGCTTTGCTTGTGTGTGTGC